AGGATCCATGTCTGAAAATGATTCAGATAAAATCACAAATATCTACATACAAAATTTTCAAAAATGCTATAAAATTAATAAGCTACATGTATGTATATTACTTGAAAGAGACGATTGGTTTGTGTCATTTGTCTTGTCCTCTAATAACTAGTTTCACCTAGTTTGGAGTACAGGTAAACCAAACAAGATAATCTTTAATTTATACTCATGAATCCTCTTAAGATCTATGAAGTAATTAATATATAAAACATCCAAATAGGCCACACTTTTGTCGAAAATATGGTTGTGCCAACCAAAAACAAGAAATATGACGTCAATGCACAATTTTTATAATAAGCAACCACTGCATCATCATCAACATGAGTAATAGTGGCAGTTAAATGGGATATGTAATTATCCCTTAGAAATTAAAATTGTGCATGTGTTCCTCACGTATTGGAAATCTCCTTTTGAGCCTCACTCAAATCATTTCATAATTGTGTAATAATTAGGTCTAGGGTATCAGGTTGTTGAATTGGAGTGTGATCCAATAATGCGTATGTGATAGAAAGATGTGAGATACACGATACATCATAAATAGTGATACTCATCTGACCAATGGGAAGATGAAATGTCAAAGTCTTTATGTTCCATCTTTCAACAAAGGCGGATAAAAGTCCATGATCAATGTGACCAAATCCAATCATACAAACATCCTTTAGTCCGAATGTTATTAATATTTATTGAAACCATTTTTAATCGAGCTTCTTTAGCTTATAATCTTTCTACTATGGTTAACACACTTTAGTGTCTTACCGAATTGCGAAAATTAATTTCAAAGTCAAATGATTAATTTCAATATAAATATAATAAATTAGTTGTTTAAAAACATATGTAAATATTTATTTCACCTTTTCATTCCAAATGTGAGCATCAACATGGTCTGCATATAGTGGAAGTAATAACATGTTTAATAGCTCTCTAGGAAATCCCTCAAATGTGGCAGGAGCAGGTGTAATAACATATGCACGAGCCTGGATTATGTTCTGACATCGAGATCCCTGACCTTGTGATGATGATCCCTCTGTGGTGCCAAATGATTGCCCTACTTCAAACTCGACCCTAGAAAATGTAGATTTCTCTTTACAAACTGATGCATGTTGTGATAATCGACCATGTATGTATCCTGGTTGTTCATCATCCATTTTTATATACTCACATAATATTGGAGGCAACACCAATGAAAATATCAAAATTATTATATGTCATGTGCCAACCAAATACCCAGGACTTAGTGCTCTAGACCAGCCAAAGACTCAATAGCATGATGCCCATTAACCAACCTGCCCTGTCAGGCGCAAGGTATAAACACCTTCATTAAGGGTTTTCAGGTACACAATCTTTAATCATCACTTTCACTACCACTATCTTGAACCCTAAATTGACTTAGGTGTTGGAGTGCTAACCATGCAAGTAATCCCCCTCCCTTAGTTCAATTGTATCAAAGATAACAAACATTGAATAAAAACATTGTATCAAGACCAACACCTTTGGTTCAAGAAGCTTCATGATCACAACCTTCGGCCCATGGTGTCACAACATCGTAGTGCATCGAAAGCTTTGTTCCTCTGTAGTTTATTTAACCCTCGTCATTTATGGTTCCGCAATGGAACATTGGCGCCATCTGTGGGAATCGACTTCTTATTCTTGCGATTTCCATGATCCCACATTTAATTTTCAAATTTAAACTCCGAAAGCGTCTCAGGAAAAGAAATTAAAGTCTTGAGGATCCAAGATCTTAATTATGCGTCATTTGGAGACATCGAACTCCGATCTGACGCTGAATAAGCGCTTACGCCGACTCCGAACCTCCATGAATATGTGCAATTCGTTAGATCCCTTCATTTGTGTCTCTTCAGATCTTAGAAACAGTTGTGTCTAAGGGAAAATGCATGAAGTCACCATAAGCGACCCATCCGGTCACCACCTCGGCCACATCTTCATCGTCCGAGCCTGTAACTCCCTAAACAACTTCAAGAATTTGTAGGGAAAATGATTGCATACCCGACTTTAGGATCAAGCTGGCCTCTGAAATCATTCTCTAAGAAGATTGAGCTCAAGCCTCGCCAAATTCCGGCCAGACGAAGATACCAATGTTTTCAACCACAATCGGGATGGTCACTAGAGCGACACCAAGAAGGTATCGCAAGTCCATAGTTAATAGCACCTAGGTATTGCAAGTTCATAGTTAATGTCGAGCGCCGAGCAAATACTAGGGAGCATCCTGTATATACCATAGGATTTCCTCTTGATACACTAGGATTTCCACCAACCAGATTGCGAGTCAGGGGGCCATTGGGAACTTCTAGTAGGAGATGCACCAACATTCGACCGTTGGAAGGCCTTTCGGTATCAATGTCCTACTGAATCCCTCGGGTTCTGTGCGAGAAGGGAATGAACAAGTCGGAATACATCATCTCTAGTCTCCTGAATCAACCAAGCATCATGAATATCTCAAAGAAGCTCTGATCCAAAGCAAACTGGTCCACCTTAACCCAATGACCAGAGTCGGACATGCACAACAGAAGTCAGACATCTTGCTAGCCAAGGGCTCGACCCTCGAGGTCATCCGATCACCAAGCCACTTAGTCATCACAACTGAGGTCAAGCATTTGGTATACACTTACGGGCAACCACAAGATTTAATTAATTTATTTATAAATTAATTATATAATAGTGGAATGAAATATATATGTATATACATTACTATTATATTTTTGTTGTTCTGCTTTTTGCCTTGTCCCCTATTTAGAGTACCGAAAACGCGAATACACGTAACAGGGAACCAGGGAACAACCACTGTAGTTGATGCCCGTCTTAAAGATCTTGAGGTGCTGTAAGATCCTGAGGTGTTATCGGAGACGTTTTGCTTATCCAACTACAGCAATCTAAACCCTTTGGTGTTGGAGATATTTTCACTAGGGAGTATTGAACATTATGGGACTTTTTCTTTCTAGAGAAACACCTTTGTGAGAGACACACCACATACTCACCCAAAACCTTAAGGTAATATGTGTGTGGGTTATCCCACTTATAAATGCTTAAGTCTCCACATTCCTAGCCAATGTGTGACTATTACACGTACTACTCACACTTGTTATACTTAGCATTCCCCCTCAAGTGTGAGCCTATCCAGAATGCTTCCACAATGCTCCCCCTTAAGCGGAAGCTTCAACTGTGCAACTGTATTTTCTGTTGTGTGTTTCTTACTCACCACCCTTGTACCGCCGTTGAAACTTTTCAACGGGACACCTCCTAACCACCACCTGTGGGGAGTACTTTCGATACAAATGATTCGGTCCTTCACTCGAACCAGGCTCTGATACCACTGTTGGGGAGATTTTCACTATGGAGCATTGAACATTGTGGGACTTTTTCTTTATAGAGAAACACCTTTGTGAGAGACACGCCACATACTCACCCAAAACCTTAAGGTAATAGGTGTGTGGATTCTCCCACTTATAAATGTTCAAGTCTCCACATTCCTAGCCAATGTGGAACTATTACACATACTACTCACACTTGTTATACTTAGCATTTGACATTTTCCCCACAAGAAGATTCAAGGGTGGTGTCGGATACGCTTAGTATGTCTGGCTACAACAATCAATTCCTCACAGTGCCTCGTGCATCTTCAGAATCCAGGGGTGTTGTCGGATGCGCTTAGTACATTTGGCTACATCAATCAATTCCCCATAGTGCCTCGTGTGTCTTCACAATTCAAGGGTATTGTCGGACACACTTAGTACACTCGACTACAATAATCAATTTTCCACATCATCTCGTGCGTCTTTAGAATCCAGGGGAGCTATTAGAGACGCTTTGCACGTCCGACTACAATAAACGATTCCTCTATTGTTGTTATCGAAGATGCTTTGAATATCCAAATACAACATTAAAATATCCCTTGCTAAAGAAATACACGCTTTCACACATATTTTTGTTTCAAATAGATATGATTTAAGAAATTTATAGAATTTAAGATAAATTCTAAGTGTATAACATTAAACAATCGGTTAGACTTTGTTTTGGAGTTTGGAGGAGAGAAGAAGTGAGGATTTTAAAGAATGATTTTTTGAAATATAGAAAAATCTTTAATATTTAATTTTTGGATCAAATGATAAAAAATGTATTTATAATTAACATAATTTTAATTTTGTAAATACTATAACATATTATATTTGAACAATTTATCTAAGTTTCTAATACAATTTTTAAACTCCCCAAAAGATTTTAATTTTTAAATAAAAATAAAGCCTCTCTTCAAAACCCTCCTTTAATATAATTTTTAAACTCCCCAAAAGATTTTAATTTTTAAATAAAAATAAATCCTCAAAACCTTCGCCGCATAAATCATTCTATTCTCTTTTCCTTTTTTTAAAATTCCTCGTCTCCCTTCCTTTCCAAACTCCTAAACAAAACCTTAGAAAAACTGCATTATTAAAACTTTTTCCGATCTATTTAGAAGAACTTTAACAACCATCTCATAAAGGATGTATTTGTCTCCAATCACTCTTAGATTTTTTTCTTCTTTTAGAATAAAGGAAATATTTGTCATATTGGGAAAGAGTAATGCTATATTGACACAACAATATAGTATGGATGTCATATATTGGAAAAAGTATAAAATTAAAATAATTCTAATACCTGAAAAGAACAACATGTAAGTTTCTTACTCAACTAACATATTCTATGTTCAAAATGGAAGTAATGGTTCATCACTAGTTTAGAAACATGGCATAAGATCAAATTGCCAGGAAAGGAAAATATTACAAACAAGCAAAACTATAACTGCTAAACTTCATACAGTATTGCCAAAATGGTAGATCAGCTCAGTCCCGTGCCGCCTGTCAAACAAACAAAAATATTTGAATTGCTTAAAGGACTGTTTTAATCATAAAATAAAAACACTTTAAAGTGAGAATTTAACACATACCTTTCAGAAAACTAGCTAGAGATGTTCATGACTTGCGAATGGAAATATCCATATGTAAATATGCCACAGACGCCGCAAAAAGCAGGAAAAAAACAGATGCAAGCATCAATGGCTCAGCAAGCATGAATATAGGGTTAAAATTGTAGTATACCTACCCCACAACAAAAACATGGTTAGAGCATGAAACAGCCAAGTTCAAAATCAGTTTTAGAAAGATATCTTAGAATTGGGTTTGTGATACCTGGAAAGGGATGTTATGCTCAGGAACAACATTTCTCTTTTCTAGAACCACCACAGTCCTTCCCACAATGTCAAGGTATGAATACTTGGTCTGCAAAAGTTCAAAGATAAAACCATTTTAGCTGCGAGTTTTACTATATGCTATAAAGATAACAAGTGAATTTCAGCACTAGCACGAACAACTATATCCAGGGAAGAAAGAAATGTCCTGTTGAGTAAGCAGTATTATTCCAAGAAAACATTACCTCTAGATGTTGATCTACTTGAAAAGGAATCACGGCTTCCGGATTTTTCGATCCCTCTGGAAGCACAACCTAATAAAATGGTTTAAAAAGGATAAGTTTAACTTCCATTATTGCATGCAAATGCATTTGAAATCAAAAGGCATAAATTTTACTTGATAGTAACAATAACAAATGCGAAATCACACCCACCTTTATAATCAACTTGTCAACCACGGTCTCAGCAAGAGGGCAACCATAAGTAAAATTGAGGTATCTTCTGCCGTCCGAAGACTCAAAAAGGAAGTCTTGCAATGGTAGTCCATAACCAATGAGAAAGGTGGATTTCCAGCCTCCAAATAGAGGATATCTAGGTTCAAATTCAAGTTCTGACTGCAATTGATAAAAATGTAAAGTATGAGATCAAGCCTGGCGAAATAAAATATAGATTATGTAAAATAGATTCATCATTTTGTTGGTCAAGACATTGTCCTATCTTGGTGAATTATATCCTCCACAAAACTAATAGTAGAATCTTTTGCCACTAAACATTTAATTAACATAGAAACAAGCCATGCAGAAACTACAAGAAATCGCCATTTCCATACATCTGCTTTTATTGACTAACTATGGTGTCAATGACATCCAATAATACATAACCATAGATCAAATAAGATTACAGTCATGTTAACAAGAATGGTATTGCTTGCAAAAGAAAAAAAGTTGAAAAAGAAAACAAATGGTGGACATGTTTATTAAAGAGAGGCATACAAGTGAATTTTGAACGACTACTCTAAGTCGGGTGAGAGGTGAGACAAAAAGCATGCTATTTTAAGATACAAATGATATATCTCACCTTTAGAAAATCTGTACGTAGATGTGAAGAAGAAATATTGCCTATTTCATCCCGGTAGTATACTGAGTGAACCCTAGGGGGTAGTTTTGCAAGAAGACTTTTAAATGAAGAAACACCACTAGCACCTGATCTAGTTTGATATTCAACCCTGTCGACAGAAAACCCCAGTTACATGTAATAAAAGAAAATTCAAGTAAATGATAAAATATTACAACTATTCTGAAGATTTTTAAAATTATATAAATAGCAAAAGAAGACACTATATGTTAATGTGTTATAAGCCATAAGTTAGCTGATCCATTTGAAAAGCAGCAATCAAGACCTACGCCCTTTCCAAATCATGACAATCCTAATACAAGAGTATCAATAACAACTGGTTGCCTACGTGATTAAAACAGTGGAAAGATCCTTTTCTTCTATTAGCTACTTTAAAAATAATGATTGATCTATTTTTGCACCAAATGTTGCAATGAAACATATAGGGCAAGGATAAATTTCAATGTTACCAAATCATCATATCAATCAGAATTGTGAGAAAATAGACAATTTGATGATTACAATACATATCAAAAAACATTTATACAAATAACAAATAAATAAATATATTAAGGCTTGGTTTGACAATGTCAATTTTCAAGCTTTTAATGGGTAGCTTATAGCTTATAAACTCATCTAACCAAAATATACCTACTTGGTAACAATTTTTTCTTACGAGCTTATAGCATTTCTAACTAGCTTATAGTGTTTTTTTTATAAGCTACTTCAACTAGCATTTGAGCTTAAAGCTCGTTATTTTTTGTCAACTTTATACTTAATATCTCAGTTGAAAAAAATTAAATATTAAAAATATTTTTTATGTCATTTCATATTTAATAGCTAGTTCAACCACTAATTATACCAAACACTACAAATTCAACCCATTAGTTAATCCGCTATCAGTTAGCTTATCAGTTATCTACTACTTTTTACCAAATAGAGCAGGTGGGTCATGCCGCTAAATATCTAAATTCCAACTACTTCAAAATGTTGAAGAGGCCATTTTGCCATGTAAGTAATAATTCTTCTATTCCTTTAATCCAGACACATATTTTTCCGCAAAGAACAAAATGAAGGTCTGGAGCATGAAGAAGAATGAACAAAAGATAGCAAATATACCTTGAAAAAACACCTTTGTGTCTAGCACCAGCATGAACCAGTTTGTATCGCTCTATGACCTGTATGCTTCCCCAGTGAGATATTTCAATTTCACGTTCCAGCTCCTCGACAACGGCAAAGGGATTGTTATTTTCAAAATGAACAAGTACAGGAGAATATGAATACGGGGTACGACTGTCATATGGCCCATATCTTAGCTCTGAACCAGCTCGTTTAGTGGGCTCCAATACTGTGAATGATTCTACCCGAGCACTTGGTGTCTTGATGAAAGTTGTCTGTTCCTTGACATGATAGGGAGACAATAATATTGCACTATCACGGAAATAGACCAACTGCGAATCGGATTGACTAATTTCTACTGGGAAAGGTTCCAGAGAATGTGTCAATAAGTAAAGCACCTCAAGTGTTATCGATTCACCTTTACTGAGTGGAGTTAACAAGGTTATAGCGAAAAATTTAGTTCCATTTGGTCCATCAGGTATCTCAGCGGATTTAACATCAAGAGGAACATAGGTCTTCTTCTTCTTCTTCCCGGTAGTTGCTGCAGCTTTGACTACTGCTAGATGTTCGGCTTCAGCAGGTGAAAAGGCAAGATGTACTTCTGAAGTAGGAGAAGTGCCTGAGTTTTCAACCTGAAAGGAAAGCTCTATGAAACACAATGTCTCCTAATTTGTAATAGATGCTTTAATAGTTAAATTCAGTGAAAAGAAGAGAAATAAAACAAAAAAAATAGGCCAAAACAAATACTGATTTGTTGCTATAAGAATCCAAATCAAGTTACAAACTTCAATAGATTGGAGCACGCATGGAATGGTAACTGGCAGAGCTGACAAGGAAGGGAACATGGGTGCCATGGTCCCACCCAAGTTTGTGTTTTTCTCAGTATTTATTCATATACTTATTTGATGTCCCTATTAAAGTTAATTAAAATGCCACACAGCTCTTACATGTTATATATGTTTAGTCTGATACCTCTTACACTAATTTTCTGGCTTTGCCGCTAGAACAGTGATTCCCCTCCAGCTCATTATTCCATACAGACAAGAATCTCCACTTCCCCCCAGAATGAGAGAACATGCATAGATTACATGCATGTTGGAATGAATTGAAAATTGTGTTTTTTTATATCTAACTTCATTAATTATAATATGATTCAGTTCTGTTTTAGTTCCATGGAGTTCATAATCCCATTCCTTAACAAGCCAAATACTGGAATTGAAATGAGCATTCCATTTGAAACCAGTTTGATTCTATAAAAATCAGTTATGTGAATCAAACACGTCCAAAATGTTTGAAAAAGGTATCTCAATTTAAATTGAATAAAACTGGGAAAAATCTCAACAACAAAAAAAAGTACTATTATGCATGACCTAACAACATCGTGGTGTTTTGCGTAAGCTTCAACCAAACTATTAATCTGTCGTGTATGCTACTAGTGAGAGTTTATTCAAATTTCTAGAGAATTCTGTAGTTAGTTGGTAACTGATGTTTGTTAAGTCTGTAAAGTCTATGATTCATTATGTTAGATCTCAGGTAAAGTTTAATGAGCAAGCATTATATTAGAGCAAATATTATTGGGACTAACAAATCTGTAAGCTTTTCATTCACTAATCAAATTCAACTTAGATTTACAATCAGAAAGTTCTCTCTTTGGAACTCTATCAAAAACCACTTTTGAGATAAACTGAACCTGAATTAAAGTTCATTCAAACAATAATTATAATGAGACAAGATTTTCATCTGTTGACTGCACTAAACTGTAGCATCGACAATGCATGTCCAGTGTCGAACACCAACAACACATGGGATAACATTCAATTAATTATTTTCTCAAATTATTCTCAGTGTCACTGAGTTAATGTAGTAGCATGTCCAATGCCAGTGTACGTGTTTCATAGCTTCGCCATAATCTAATCTTTACTAAAACCTAAATGTAGAAATCAATTTACAAACATGCAAAGTAACGACAATGACGGAAGAAAAAATTGAGTTATGATCAAAAGAGTAATAGTATGGAAATACTACCTTCAACGTCAAGTACACCTTAATAATGTGAGAATTCAGGTCAATCTGCAGAAATCATTACCATATTAGTCATACAATATATAAACAAAGGATTGAATGATTCCCAAAACACCCTTGAAGATATACGATTCTCCAACAATCATAGTCCACTATCATTGATGGAAAAATTCATGGAAAAAGAGCACCGAATAGATCAATTAGATAGAAAATCCTGATATAGTTGACACAAGATTTATTCCCCGTAAGATAATTTCTGCATGAATCTACAATCGAATCAATGTACCCATTTCAAAAGTTCGGATTTTTTAGACAGTGCGTACAGATCTAGAGCTAAAACAAGTGCCTTTGTTACGAAACAAAGAAATGGAAATTTCGGTAGAATTGCGAATTATAATAGAAGAAAGGTTACCCTGCGTTCGGCATTGATGATCTGAAGGTGTTGAGAAGGAGACGAGTTAACAGGAATGGAGAGATGGAGGAAGAAAAAGAGCACTGCAATTTTGAGCAGAGCTTCCATGACCATTGGTGCAGTTGACGAACAGAAGACTCTCCCAACTCAGTTCTCTATAGAAACTTTATGGGCTCAATTTCACTTCATTCCAAACAAATGCATTCTCACCAAAAAAACAAAGTGAGAGTTACTATCCTCCCCTCCCATTTTATTGTAATACCTACTAGTTACACGTCTAAACTAATAAGCAATGGAATTAATAATTGGTATTTGATACATTAATGCAAACATCTGAAAATTAACTAGATAAAACTTTACAACAATAATTTGACAATATCATTGCCGAAAAATGCTCCATCCAGCCTTAATGAATCAAATTCATAGTTCTTAGTCCAATTCAATTACCTATTTATTTAAAAAAATAATATAACAACGTGGAATGAAATACTAATTTCAGTAAATTTTCGATTTAAATCATTGAACCTCTCAATATCCTTCTACAAGGATATCCTTCTAGTCAGCCAAAGTTGTCTTAAAAGATTCGTCAAGTACTCCTCATATCCACTCATCAAGGTCTGACTATCAACTAGAAAACCTCAAACCATCTCATAGAGCATTTACCTATTCACACTTACATATATGATTTACTATACATATATGATTTACTATACTGAAGTAGAATACTTAGCCACCACACTTTCCCAAACGGTAGAATTGAGATAAAAAAAAACGTATTCAAATACTTGAAAGGGTGTTGTGGCACTATATACGTCCTTAATCACTCACACGGAAAATCAAAGAATGGATTGTGCTATCTGTGAGAAACATCTGACATCATGCATTGCGATATACACATTCCTTAGCATGTCCAAGCAAACGACAACTATCAGCTCACTAGGAGGTTTTCCGACTTATAGCAACCCTTAATAAGCCATATTCAATGAGAGACAATACCAAAGATACACAATATCTCCATAATAATAACAATAATCAGGAATCGTCATATCTTATACATTATATAGACAATGACGTGTTATCCCATATACCTATATGAACCCACATATCATAACTACAACAATCCCCCATAATCTGAGTCAAGTTTATGGGATCATCAACATCCTACTACGATCCTGTGAGACTTTAACTCTACTTTCGAGGACATACAACAGGTATATACAGTGAGACACCTCACCCCTTATATGTATTTTAATAGTTATTATTGTCCCTTCGAAACATATAAGTCTTATCTAAAGAATGATCATACGCTTTTAATTAAGGTATTAGTCAAATTAAAAATCAGCACGTAGGTTTACATCTACAAAGTTGCTCAACCTACTAGGTTTTTCATTGCATCCCTCTTGAAGTACCCTACCATCTTAAGTAGGAATACAACTTAATAAACATCATACTTTACACAACATTCTCTTGTTATATACCTAGTCCTATTTCCAAGAGTACAATTTATACCTAGTTATTTATCACTTAGAACAATTCCTAAACATACAGTACCCAATGGATCTTGTTATATCCTCGTTCGGTCTCAATATAGATACACACTTAATCACTCTACTCAACAAACATGTATACTCTTAGTAGTATTTCAACCATATTATTATAATATTTAGGCCTAAGATTTCACATGACATCTTAGGGTATCAATACTGACATGAAGTGGGGTTCACACAAATAGAGATCAAAGGCTTACTTGCCTTTTGGTGCATTACGGCCTGGACGTAGCACGTGTTACGACTGTAACATGCCTAGACTACTCCATATTACACCTTGGCCTTTATTGGTACAAAAACCAGGCATCATTACAGCCTAGGCGTAACCTTACTATAATCGTATAAGGCTCAAGCGCCTAAAAATTCCCCTTTTCGATCCTTTTCACAACAACTTCTCAGTCCTCATACTTCAATCATCCCTTATCATCCTTAAAACATTGATTATGAATTTTAATGTTAGAACACAAAGAAACACTAATTTCTATCATCTACCAACATAATAAAAACATGTAATTCACATAATCATAGGTTATGGTTTAGATTAAAGGAGAATAATAACTTAATAGGAGGAGAGGCCCGCCTTTCTAAAATCGGGGGTGGTGATGATGATGATGATCTCTTCCCTTTTCCAAACATATGCATTCACACTCTAATTCTTCTTAATATTTATTAATGGTGAAGGTTTTATGGATAAATCCTCTCATACATGACCATTTCCATGCTTAACCCAAAACTTGATAGTTTAGAAGCAATTTTTCTTACTTTTATGTGGAGTGGTGGCCTTGGAGAGTTTCTTTGCTTTTTATCAAATGGTTCTTGTGATAGGTGTTGAGAAGAAAAGTGAATATGTTCTCCCTTCAACATTTTCCCATCTTTATATAATATTCAAGCCAAAAAAATATTTTGCCATCCACTTAATTGAAGGAGATCTCAAAAATGCCATTTCCATTCCTTAACTGGATAAGTGATCCAAACATGATTTCACCACATTAGGCATGTTTGACTTAATATACCATGTAGAATTATCAAGAATTCACCAAAATATCCTTGATGGTAAATTATCAGTTTACCTTTGGTCTCATTATTCTATCATTTGACGAATAACAGGTTTCAATTTAATGTTTTAGACTGGGATATTACAATCTATCCCCCTTAAAAGAATCGTGCCCTCGAAATTCACATTTCATACTAGCATCTCTGCCAGACATGTTGGTGCTCTAAAAATATTTTTCTTTGATTTCTTTGTCATCTTGAATCTTCTCCAATTGATTCCTAAGCCTGTGGTTACTTTCGTCTTAACAATTCCTGATGATAATGCATTTTCTTATGCCTCAAGGCGAAAAGTCTAACAATTATCATTGTTTTTCCATAAAATTCTTCCTCCAACTTATTCCTTCTAGTTCGACATGGTGTAGATCCCCCAACACAGAGGAGTCAACCGTCGAACATGTTGCCAGATATCAAATTGAAGCTGACTACATAGCAAATAATGAGGATTTAAAAATGAAATACTTCCCAAGTTCACTCACGAAAAACGCGTTCACTTGGTCACGATGTTGCCTCCATACTTTATTTATACTTGGGCACAGTTGGAGAGATTATTCCATGAACAATTCTACATGGGATAGTCGAAAATAAGTTTGAAAGAGTTGGCCAGCGTCAAACGAAAGGCCTCCGAGTCGATCGACCAGTATCTTAACAAGTTTAAACTTTTGAAAGCAATATGCTTTACTCAAGTCCTTGAACATGATCTAGTCGAAATAGGTGCAGGGGGTATAGACTATTCTATTAGAAAAAAGCTAGACATTCAGTATCTTAGAGACATGGCCCAATTGGATGATAGAGTTCGACAACTCAAAAGGTTGAAGGCCGAAAAGGCCAGAACTAATGAATACCATAAGAGAAAGTGTCCTACGTCGTTGCGGGCACATACTCTTCCGACGATGAAGAACTCGTCGACAAGAGCGAGGTCAATGTGGCTGAGCTCAAGCCAGAACCTACATACACTTGTAAATTACTGAAATCATCGAACGGAAAAAATCATGTCGACACCGAAAAAACAGATAAATTTGTTGCAAAGACGTATACGTTTGATATAACTAAGTGTGACGAAATATTTGATTTGTTAGTCAAAAACGGGAAAATTATTATGCCTCAAGGCTTAAAAAATCCCCCATTAGATCAAAAGAAAAAAAAGGATTCTGTAAATTTCATAATTTCCTTGGTCATAAAACTTCTCAATGTGTTCTTTATAGGGATTTGGTGCAAAAGGCTTTGAAAGAGGGCAAACTTCAATTTGGCGAAAAGCCAAAGATACAGGTGGATGCAGATCCTTTGAAGGTGGAGGAAGCCTTGTATGCTGAACCTTTTGAATGTATGGTGGTCGAGGCTACTGAAGGTTTCGACAGACCCTTGACTATTGAAATCTCAAAATGCCCGATGGTTGAAACTACTGAGGGTTTCGATGCAAGAATTGAGGATGCATTGAAGGAAATTTACCCCACAGCCAGAGAAGGACTAGTTGACTTCCAAGAGAAATGCAAAGAGAGAAGGTTGAAGGTTGTGCTATGTCTAAGATGCAACACTGTCTTCGACGAAAAAGCTGCTGAAAAGTATGAAACTAACAAAAAGAAGATGTTGAATGGGCAAAAAGTTGAGTACGCTCCATTAATTGAGGGGAAAGAACCAAATTACACTCCCCAATCAGACGAGGAACTAAATTACACTCCCCAATCAGACGAGGAACCAGAATACACTCCCTAGTAAGATAAGGAACCAAAGTACACTCCCTAATCAAACGAGGAACCTAAATACACCCTTTCGCCAGAGGATGAGATGGTCGATGATACCTACGACAAATATTTTATTATTATTTGCAGGATTGTGTCAGTACTACCTGCAGAGTTTGACAGGGTGTCAAAGGTTTCCGAGGCTGACGAGGATTTTGTACCAGATGAGAATGGTGAAGATAAGCCATTATGTTACTATGTGATGAACAACGATGTGGTGGAAAAACAGAAGGCCATATTTAAGAAACCTAGTCCAGTAATGATGTACCACTTGAAGCCATTGTTCATAAGAGCGAAGGTGGATGGGATGCCGGTAAATAAAATGCTCGTGGACAGTGGGGCAGCTGTCAACCGATGCCTCATACTTTATTCAAAAATATGGGAAAGAGTGATGTTGATCTTTGAAAGCATAATATGGTTTTGTCCAACTATGAAGGAAAAATCAGCAATATATTAGGGGTAATCTAAGTCGAGCTAGTTGTGGGGACAACCATGCGGTCGACTTTGTTTATGGTGATAAAGTCTAAAGCCAGCTTTAACTTTCTCTTGGGTCGAGAATAAATCCACAGAATGGGGGCAGTGTCATCAACCTTACACCAGAGGTTGATTAGTTGGACAAAGATGGCATTGTCGAAAACATTAAAGCTTATCAGAGCTACTACAAGGTCGACAAATCAAAGGGTGTGAAGAAATTGTTTGACCAACATTTAGCAAATGCCGTACCGTGTGACAACAAGTCAAAAGTTTACACCTCTGTCAAAAATCTAAAATGTTTCCT